GGACCAGACCAGTGGCTCCGGGTCCTCGGAGGAGATGGGAACCAAACGAGTTTTGTGCCTCGTTTTTTTATTTGACGTGGCAATAGTTGACACTAATTTTTTAAGATGGGTTAGCTGCGTACAATATGCAGCACCCTCGCCCCTCTCCATTTCAACGCTGTCACTGGCGTAGTCAGCACGCCCAGTGTCGCCGTAAGCTGACCGGTCTCTCACGGCATCGCTGCCCTGACCGGTCCGCGCGGGCCCCCTCCAGACTCAGCACCGCTGCCCTGACCGGTCCGCGCGGGCCCCCTCCAGACTCAGCACTGCTGCCCTGACCGGTCTGCGCGGGCCCCCCCCAGACTCAGCACCGCTGCCCTGACCTCCGCGCGCCCCCTCCCATCTCAGCACGCTGCCACTGACCGGTCTGCGCGGGCCCCTCCAGATCAGCACCGCTGCCCTGACCGGTCCGCGCGGGCCCCCTCCAGACCCGCCCGCCGCTGCCCTGACCGGTCCGCGCGGGCCCCCTCCAGACCCGCACCGCTGCCCGACCGGTCCGCGCGGGCCCCCTCCAGACCCGGCACCGCTGCCCTGACCGGTCCTCGCGGGCCCCCTCCAGACCCGGCTCCGCTGCTCTGACCGGTCCGCGCGGGCCCCCCTCCAGACCCGGCTCCGCCCTGACAGGTCCGCGTGGGCCCCCTCAAGACCCGGCACCGCTGCCCTGACCGGTCCGCGTGGGTCCCCTCCAGACCCGGCGCTGCTGCCCTGACCGGTCTGCGCGGGCCCCCCCAGACCCGGCTGCGCCGCTGCGGGCCCCCTCCAGACCCGGCTGCGCTGCTGCAGGCCCCAGGCATTGACACGGACGAATCTCTCCGTAATCGCACAGACAGGCGTGGGATCTCGCCTGCCGTGGAGGAGCCGCATTCCGGGTGGCGCGATGCTGACCGCGGCGCCCTCCGGCCGGCCCCTGTTGCACAAGCGGTCGGCTGAGGCCTCCGCCGGGCGCCGCCAGGGGGCGCCGGTGTGCGTACCGCCCCGCCGCGAAGGACGGCGAAAGTGGCCACGCCCTGGCGTCGCACGGGGTGGGTGAGCCGCGCCGCGACAAAAACGACGCGTCCAGCGCGGCGCCGGCGCTGAATGGGCCGCTCGGCGGCTGGGTGCTGATTGCGGGAGCTGGCGACCGGTGCTGGGTGATGACGTCAGTTGTCAGGACGGGAGGCGTCTGGTGGGCTAGGAATGCATTTCGTGCTGCCTGGCGGATTTTTGAGCCGCGTTGTAGCGCGCGTGCCAATTCACAACGGGTATGAAGGCCCGCCACGGCAGTTTTTACGACGTCGGATCCGAGTCTAACAAACTATGAATTTGGCGTCGCACGTAGCTTCTCTTGAATGTCCAAATATATGGCACTTCTGGTTGAAGTGCATGCGATGGATGCCAAGATAGACTTGACCGGAATAACTTTCTTGCGACATACGGAAGGTATTCCGACTTTTTGTGATTTTCTTTGTGCCAACGTTCACCTGCCTTGCGTGGTAACTGCTCGGACAGGCAGCAGGCACCCATATTGATAGGCAGCAGGCACCCATATTTATATATCAATAGCTGTGCGACAGGTCATCATCAGTCACGTAGTCACATGTTGAACTGAGGGGTATGCAGCGTGTGTGCACGCTCGTTGTCAACGCACGGACAGCTGCGGCACCCGTCGGGGGTCACGTCGCTGACATAATCGCGCTCCGTGTGCACGCGCAGATCGCGTAGGATGCGTCACAAACAAGCACTGTACGTATGGAAACGACAACAACCACATTTTGTGCGGTAATCGCTGGTGTAAAGAGAAGCCAAGCACGGCACATCTGACAATAAGAAGCCAATCTAACAAGGCACAGAAGCAGCATGCACCACGCGTGAGTTTTATCGTTGGGCGGCCTGTGCGGCGGCCGGGGAGGCGGTATGAGAGCACGGCTGCATGAGGCGTTAAATTACGCCGAGTCTAGCCCGTCTGAACCGTGGTCAAGCAGCCTTGCGATATAAAGTAAAGCTGGCGAAAACTATTCATAGCTCTAGAGCATAATTGCTAATGGTGAGAACATTAATCTTAAATGACATTTTTCCAGACAAAATTATGAGGCTCGGTATTTCTGAAACACTTGACGCGAAACACTGGATGGTACAAAATAGCCCAGAGGCATGGCTGTACCTATAGAAGCGGTAAGAACCGTAAATTACACGCGCTTGGGTTGTGCTGCACGGCACCAGAGCCGGAATATTCGCAGGGATGCATCAGGCGCCG